TGGAAACGTACTTAAAAAAAAAAGAAAAATCACTTAAGATTCATTTTTTAATAATTTTTTATTTTTTTCCGAATTTTTTTAAATTTTTTTTGTTTCTGTTTTTTCCCCTATATTTTTCTCCGGTCGCCGGTCCGGTGACCAGCTGAGGCCGGCGAGTTAGACCTCGCCGGCCATGGGCGAGGCCGCTCGGCCTCCCCCAGATCTGGGCAAGGCCGAGCTGCCTCACCATGGACGGCGAGGTCGACCGCCACACCTGGGCGAGGCCGCTCGGCCTCCCCCAGATCTGGGGGAGGTCGAGCGGCCTCGCCATTGCCGCCGGTTGACCTCGCTGTCGCCTAGATCTGGGCGACGGCGAGGTCGACGGCCATGGGGGGAGGCTGAGCGGCCTCGCCGGCCTTGAGGCGAGGCCGCTCGACCTCCCCCCATGGCCGGCAGGGTCTCGCCGGTCGCCTAGGAAAAAAAACAAAAAAATAGTCAATAAAATAAAAAATTTCGAATCCAGCGATGAATAGTTTTGCGACGAACCATATTCGTCGTCAATTAGTCACGAAGTTAGCTATGATACTTACCGGTAGAAAAGCTTTACCGAGATTGATTTGTGCACGCACGGATAGGTTTATCGAGAGAAACGAAAGAGGGAGAAGGAGGGCGAAAAGCGAGGGGAGATATGAGGAATCAGTACAGAGAGAGAGAAATTGACGGTGGGGGTGGATATCACGAAAGTTATTTTCCGTCATAAATTACAAATTAGCGACGAATTCGTTTTCGTCGCAATTAGCGAGGAATTTTTTCTCCGTCGCAAATTAGCGACGGTAAAAAAATCCGTCGCTAATTTCGTCGCAAAATAGTAAATTTCGTTGCATAAATTAGCGACGGAAAATAAATCCGTCGCTAATTCCGTCGCAAAGTAGCGATAACTAATTTTCCGTCGCAAATTAGCGACAACCAATTTTCCGTCGCTAATTTGCGACGGAATTAACGACAGATTTATTTTTCGTCGCTAATTTGCGACGAATTTTTATTTCGTGGCAAATTCCGTCGCTAATTTGCGACGGAAAAAAAAATCCGTCCCAAATTTCGTCGCAAATTAGCGACGAAAAATTCTCCGTCGCAAATTTCCGTGGCAAAATCCATGTTTTTTTGTAGTGTCTAATTTAAATCCTCACTAACATATTTTTTTATTTTCTTTATTAAAAAAAAAGAAATCAAACAAATATAACAACCGCATTCAACAATCCACGCAATCCGCAAGATTCTTCTTATGAAAATTTGAATTAGGAAAAGAAATCAAACTAACAGTCATATCTATAGGGTTATAGATATCGACGGAAAGCTGATTGTTTGAGTTTGGAAAGCGAATAAAATCTATTATCGTATCCAAGTGATTATGGATAAGATAACGATTTTCCGTATCGCCGCGTATCATACCTTAGGGTATCTTAGAATATTGCGGTTATCGCAAATATTATCCTAAGGTATCTAATCAATCACGCAATATTCACGAAATATTCAAAATATTCAAACTAAGAATTAAAAATATTTTGAAAATATACCGGATAGAGATTTTTACCTGATTTGCAGATTACTTTCTAAATTTGAATCACCGGCGGATCGGGATTGCGGAATGGGCAATGGCAGGTGACCAACAGCGGCTCGGGGGCAGCTCGGATTGCGGTGGCTGATGGTGGTGGTGCCGCCAGTGCTGGATGGCTTGGAAAGAAGCTGATTTGGCTCAGCGAGCACGGCAAGAAAGTCGAGAGCTCACTGGATCGCTACCGAAAATTCGCTGCTGTGTGGACGTTGCTATGGTATTCAAAGGAGGACCTCCGGGAGTTGTCCAAATTGATTGAGACACGCCAGACCGGGACTGTGACGGTGCTATGGTGGTTGGCAACGAGCACTACTTCCGCTGGATCGCTGTGCTCAACGTCGGAGAGGATGAGCTCGCTGAGAATCAGCAGAAAATCGTCTAGAATTACTGGAAACTGCTCGGGATCACTGGCTGCTATCTCTAGGCGCTCGCTGATTGGTGGAACAGCGTCTCAGACGTGAAGGGCTGAGGAAGGGACAACTCCGGATGTTGGAGGCGCGGAGGTGCCGAGTGGGACGTGATATCATCCGTAGGAAATAAAGCAACAATTATTCATGAGGTGGAGTCAACACATGGCAGTCAAGGGAGAGCTTCTTTGAATGTGTCCCATGTCTTCTTCTCTGTGACCGTGCTTCTCCGAATGTGTCCCTCTCTTCACGATTTTCTTTTTCTCTCAATGGTGGCCGTGGATGTCTGTGTTGTGTGTCCTCACTCCGAGAGAATCCTCAATGAATGTATTTATAGGTAAAGCTTAGGTTTTTTGCTTGCAATTATTTCCTATTTTGATTCAAAGAAAATATTGCAATATCTCTGTGATAATGTCAATTCATTCAATGATAATATCAAGATTAACAAATCAATATTTTCCAACTCGATAATTTCCAATGAAAATTTTAGCTCTTATAATGTTCATGGGCTTGGCCAAGAATTTTCTTGAACGCGGGCTTAGTTCAATTTCATTAAGTTCAGAGCCGTTCACTCGAGTCCATCCACCGCTGATCCGATAAATATTCAAACTATATAGGTCTAATTAACTATTAATGAAAATGCAGTGGATGGACTAATTGTTGAGTATCAAGTGGAAACTCCTTTCGCTAAGCAATCATTTTTATTATAGGAAGATCACTCAACTATACTCAATATTTTGTTTGGGAACTTCACAAGATACTCTCTCACAATGCTCACACGGGAGTGTTTGCCTCACTCTTTTCTTTCCTCTCTACACACCCACGCTCTCTCTACTTACGCCACTCGCTAGACAACACGACACACTCTCTACAATACTCTACATCACATGGAGCACTAGCTCATATTTATAGTGTGCGAAGTCGGTGAACTAACCAACTTCCCTATCTCTCTAGACAATTCCACTACAAAATATCTCTGACACTAATTATTACACTACAACTTGCTTGGATGAAGAGACATAGAGAGAGATTTGGGAAGAGAGAGAAGTCTGGACTAGCCAGGAAGGACGAGGAAAAAATCCAGAGAGAGAGGAGGTGATTTCCTCAACACAAACGAGAGAACTAAACTGATCATAAAGACAATGTGGAATAGCTAATGACGTAGCAGGAAGCGCAAGAGCTTGATGTTGATCTTGTTTGCTCTGATACCATGTAGCGATTTAAGACGAACATGGAAGAGACAAAGAAAAGAGATGATGAACAAAGGTTTTACATAGTTCAATCGACCAAGAAAAAAAGTCAAGCCTACATTCACAGTAGAAATCCCCATATTTCTTAGTTTCTATGGGAAGATTCGTTCTCCTTAAATAAAAAAATAGTACATCATAGTTGCTAAACATAACTTATGATATTTATGGTATATACATTAGACCTCGATCCTCGATGTTATCATAACTTGTGGCAAGTTTATCTTGCTAACAGGTTACTTATCCAAGCTAGACTTAAATAGAATAAGAACCTTTCGTTAAAAATAGCAAAAGAAAGACATAACGCCCCCATCCGCAGCGTCTATCTCCATTGCGTGGCATCTGCACCACCATTGATATAGATGGTGGCGCCATTGGTGACTACAACATAGAGGTCACTTGAGTGTCTTTTCATTATTTTAGTGACCGCAGGAGAGTCACGAGGCCCGCAACCTCTGATTGTTGTGACAACTCATGATAGTCTCGCACTCTTTGCCTCTAATTTTTCTCTCACAAGGGGACATTGCAGTGGTTGGTAGCCACTACAGTAGCGGCGACGTCGTCGTTGCTTCAATTTGTAGGTAGGTTTTCCTCTTTCCGTGCCTTCTTCAATTATTTCAATGAATTTCTTTTATTTTTTCAATCTTAATCTAGATGCACCAAACACTTTGGGGATCAAATATGCTAATACATACAATTGAGAGATTTTTATTTCTATTTTATCTAATCGTATTTGAGTTCTTTGTCTTACGACCAAATGTAGCCTTACTAGAGTCTGATACCTGGTCTTGGTGTCACCGTCTCTACCTTGTTGACTAGGTGGACACCCAAGTATTACGGTAGATTGAAATTGAAGAATACTTAGGGCTCATTTGATTATTAAATGAAATGATGAGAATTAAAAAATTCAACATTTGTTGAGATTAAGCTTGTCCGATAGTGATTTGAAAAATTCAATCAAATAAAAACGACTCAACGGAATAAGTAAGGAAGAGCTTACTAAATTAATTATATAAAGAAAGTAATTGATAACATTTAGAATCTTTCCAATTATGTTACTAAGAGCTACCAAACAATGATCACAATTTCCTACGTGCTAAAATTTTCAAGGGCTTTTATTTTTCAATGTTATAAAGCCACTTAGTCTAATTCAATTCATTTCGAAGGACCATAGCTGCTCCGAGGGTGGGAAAATTATTAACCTGAGCCATGGGTTAGGCGTGGACAGGCTCGAGGCTCGGGTTGGGCCTTAGAGAAGCATTTCAAGCTCTAAATTATTAATAAATTTTCAATTTAATCACTAAACTACGTGAAAATGTTAAAAGTCGTCCCTCCGTTAATTCAAGTCAACAGAATTTGCTAATGTGATTCCCAATCTGTTAAGTTTGAACGATGGATAACAAAAAAAAAAGTTACACGAGGTTTATTCAAGTAAGATTTATCTCGAATTAGGATATAATGATCCACATCACCAAATAACTATGAATCTGTTAATGCCCCAATTTTTTTCCCTTTTCCAAAGTAGATAAATAACATAATAAACATGTTGAAATCATCATTTTTAAAGATCCAACTCAACATATGATAATCCACGTCATCCAATACCTTCTTATTTGTCCTTTGAACAAAGGGTACATCGAACATTTATTGACGGTTCACGGACTGCAATGGAAAACAAAAGTTCAAGACGGCATTGAACCACTTGTGTCATTTCTCCTCTAATTATTTATCATTTATTTTGCTTGCTTATTTGGAAATGATTTGGCAACATGACAATTGGTGGGGTCTATCAAAAAGCTCCAAGTCACAAGATAACAAGCAGAAACAATTCTCAAGAATGTCAACAATTGAATCTCTCTGGGGCCAATCTGCTCTTAGGCCGCTCTTAGAATAATTTACCTGATGCTTTATCCTTGTATCCTGGTTTCCTGAACAGTGCTCTATAAGCACGAGCATTCAATCTCCCTGTCTTCATCTGGGTAGAAGCTGGTTCTTCTTCATTACTTTTGCTGGAATCCTTATCTTCCACCTTCAATTGCTTTGCATTATTCTCTTTCTTTTGCATTTGGTTTTGCCTATCAGATGACTCCGACCTTCTAGCAGACTTCTTTGATATTGGAGAATTTGAGGAATGCCGCAGTTTCTTGCATCTCTCGGACCTCCTCACTGGACTTGGCATACTTTGTCTCTTCACCCTCTCGGGATCCTTAGAAACTGAAGTAGGTGGTGTTTGCTTCTCAAGTTGCTCCGACTTTCGAGTAGTCGGAAAGCTTGGAATCATTGGTTTCTTGGATGATGACACCCTGGTTGACCTTCTCAGTCCATAGGAATCTGATGCAAAGCGTGATGTACTCGATCCCTTACCACCGCTATGCACCTTGTTTGTACATTCATCCCTAATTTTGCAACCGGATCGAGTTTGACTTGCCATATTTTTATCTGCAAATCACGAAAACTTCAATAAAACATTTTATCATTAATTATCTGTGCCTAATAGATGCTTCAACATGTCCTTAGGAATACTCTTTGAAAATCTTCATATAAAACATATAGCTAATTACAGAGTTTCCAATCCCCAAGATAGTCAATAAAGAGCGCCTCAAAATTCAAACTACAGAAGTATACTAGACGGAAAACCCAGAATATACACACAACTTAACTATTCTTATGATGTTCATGGACTCCGCTGAATGGACATTTACAACATATATACCTGCGAATTCAATAACACACAGCCCTAAAGAGTTTTCTGGGTCGAATCCCTAAAGAGTTGAACGGTGGCACTTGTACTATCAAAACAAGAGTAAATCAATACTGCTTCATCGAGCACAAAATTTTGCCCACTTCAAATCCTGTTCTTTTGTTTCAGTTGTCACACCCCGGCAACCAAAGGAGCCATAGAGGTCCACCGCTATCTTTTCTCTCTCCTTGCATTCTCTAGGCATCCAAAAAGCATGATATGTGCACAGTCAATTCTGATATGCATGTCTTTTCGTGTTTCTAACGATTAGTAATGACCTCACTTCACTAGGCCCCATTTTGTTTCAATACTCCGGTGCAACACGAAGCCGCTGACATCAAAGCAATCCAAAATTCAACCTTTCTTCACAGGTCAGATCACCAGAAATAAAAGGTGAATTAAACTCAGACAATGTGGGATTTCTAGAAGAATTGCTGAAAAGAATGCCGCATCCCAAACCACAAGACATACAATGAAAAGATAGAAATCCACAAAACATGAGATTTCTTACATGCATAAGCGTAACAGATTGACTTGCATTAATTGCAATTGTTCTGGCCTAGACTCAGCTGTAAACCCTTTACATAAAAAACATACCGAGATCAAACTTGAACCTTCACATCCAAAAATTCTTTTTAGAACCAAAATAAAGGGTCAGTTTGGAGTGAGCTTTTATCATTTACTTTTGACATTTTTGACAATTTTTTTTAAAAAAATACTCCAGCTCATGCAATTTGACTCTAATTTAGCACGGAACACCAAAAACATTTCAAAACATACAAAGATTAACGTGTAGATTCGCATATACTATTTTCATAATTTTGTAGAGTTTAATAATATTCAAAATTTTGTTAAGGAAAGTCGATGAGTAAATTTTTGCTTGGAATAAGACGCTACAATCGCACCCTTACTTTAAAAATAAGGAAATATCCCACCGCAAACCAACAGAGATGCACGAGAGATATTTTGATTTCAAAGACGAGGAAGTACAGCCGCTCTTTCAACCATATCCAAGGTTGACTTCTATGTGCTTGACGAGGCATGGGTTGGAGTTTTGACAGTTAAACACATACACAAAGCACGCGAGCCAAGGTAATCAGAAACAAACACAATGCACTTACTCAACTCAAAGCAAAGCAATGGAGAAACGAAAAGAACCTTCGGGTCTTTCGATACCACTACAAACTTCTTGCCTCGGAGTCATATCAACTACCGAAAAAAAAACTTTAATCCCAACACTACGGTCAAAAGCATTGCGGTCGCAGGATTCACTAAGAGACAAGAGCATCTACAGACACAAAAAGAAAAGAGTTGATCAACCCCAAAGCATGTTTCTCTAAAGGAACCGTCAGACACAAACTTAAGGATCTGCATGCATGAATTTTCAGTCACGACCGTCAGTTTGCTGAGAAAAGAAACAAAACGAAGCCCCTACATCTCCACGTTACGGCATTCACGCCACGCCAAACCCACGCCAAACTCGTTATCGACCCACAAAAGGCAAAGAACGGTGCGACCGAGCCTGACAGAGAGAGAGAGAGAGAGAGAGAGAGAGAGAGAGAGAGAGGCGTTTACCTGATTAACGGAGAAGGAGAGTCGCACACAGGAGGAGTGGGACTGCTGCAGAACGACGAAGATCGCACGCTCGGTAGAGAGAGCGAGAGAGATGCGCGGGTTTTATTTGTGAGTGAGGAAAATAATAAAAAGGGAGAAGAGAGGGGCGACGAGAGCGGGTCAATCGGTCCAACCCCTCCTGCTTTTCCCCCTTGCTGAGCAAAAGAAATCTAAAGAAACGCCCGCTTTTGTCATAGGAAAATCAAATCAAATCAAATCAATGAATCGGGAATGATTTTTACTGGTCGAACGATGAAGACAGGGAGGGAATTCGGTGCTCGGTACGATTCGCGGCGACACGTCGTAAGGAAATCGTGGGAATTCGAACGACGGTTAGCGTCCGAAAAGACGTGATCGTGATGTATCTAGGAAAATTCTGTCGAGAAGACGATACGGTCCTGAAAGGAATAAGTAGTACAGTCCTAAGAAGAAAAACGTGATTGTGAGTTCGAGTCGGAGTCGCATGGTCATGAGCTGAGATAAATGGCAAAATAATGATATATTATGGTCTGTATAGACGGCCCAAAGATGACCCATAAGCACCCTTAAAAATAGTTTAGGTTTTTTGACCCCAAAAAAAAATATTTTAGATTATGTACGAGACTGATAACTGAAATTCCATCCAAAATTCAAGATCGCGCGCTTAGTAGATAGAGATTGATAACTGAAATTCGAAAATTCAAGATCACGCGCTTAGTAGATAGAGAGAGAGTGCTAATTGATTTTATAAACGGAAAATTTCAAATAAGAGACTGAATTATCCTTATTTCTCAAATAAAAATCTGAAATCGATATTATTTTAAAAAAAAAAAAGTTTGAAGTGGCTTTAACAATTTCAAATATGAGCTTGATCTAGCCGGTCGACTAAATATTCCGACTGATCAAGGCCATTTTCGTCCAAAAATAATTTTAACATAAATTTTAGTTAAATTAGATTAAAAATTAAGAAAGCTAAAAGATTTTATAAATAAAAAAATTCAAGCCGGGCTAAGGCCGGCGACCCTCGCCGAGGCGCCGATGCCCCACGGGCAATGGGGCGATGATCATAGGCGGAGGAGGGCCTAGGTTTTTTTTTTTTTGCGTGTGTTTTTTTTTAGTTTTAGCCTTTTTTTCTTTTTTGTGGAAATTTTTTTGGATTTTTTAACCTAATTTAATTAGGATTTTGTATAAAAATTAGGATTCGGATCAAAACGATGTCGTTTTAGTACTTTAGCTAACTTTAACGCCAAATAGAACACCGCGTGGGTGAGATAAAATATTATAAGAAACCACGTCAGTATTTTCCATTGATCAATTTGGAAGGAGTTAATGGAAAAATTCAAATTTTACACAAAATCTAGTCGTGGGCGAGGCCTCGCCCACGCCCTCTCCAACCACTAGCAAGGGTTGTCTCGCCCAAGTCCTCGCTGGCTGCGAGCGAGGTCACCCTCGCCTAGATCTGGCGAGGGCTAGCCTTGCCTATGGCCAATCCTCGCCTATGCCTTTTGAGGGCGGACTCACTTGACCCTCTCTGGATATTGCCGGTGGCCGGCCATCGCCTAAGATTGGCTATTGGCGAAAAGGAAAGAAAAAACGTAAGAAAAAAAAGAGAAAAAAAAATGAAAATGCCTTTGATCAGCCGATGAGATCAAACCCCACTTTGAGACTGACATAGTCACTTTAGACATTTATTTGATAAAAGGAGGGCACTTCAAACTATTATTTGAAAATAAGGTCCACTTCATGCCATTTTTTGAAAATATGAAGGCGCTTTAAATTCTTATTTGGAATTTTTCCTTTAGAGACCAATCCAAGCAATTAATGAGCCAGCTAGGGTTAGCAATTTGTGTCATTTCATCTCACAATCTTGTCAGTTCACATTCAAATCTTATTCTACCGCAACATGTTTATTAGTCGTGTCGCTAATTTAATCCAAACAAGATAGATTCATTATTAAAGCTTATCACGCAACGAGACGAGTCAGGGACACGAATTATTTTATTATTTATTGTGGTTGTAATTTATCATCCATATACGTGTGAAAATTCGATAAAGTTGCAGATTGTATTTACCATATCAAGTCTCTCTCTTTACCACAGTTGTCGAAATTCAAAACGTAATTATTATGGGTTGCACTTTTTACACTCCTTATTTGGTTTAGACACTCATTTTATTTTGTGTTTTGACCATAGAATCCTTTGTAGGGCCTACCACTTCTAATACACTTCTAGAACAGGTCCTTCTTTTTCCTTGTGAGTCCCACTTTCCTTTTTCTTTCTTTCCACGTCTTTGACGTCTTAGTTCTTTGTTTTGTTTTTGCAAATCGTCTCTATATTTTCTCTCTAACAAGCCATTCTCTTAGGCCTCCCACTCCTCCTCCTTCTTCTTTAGTAAATCTATCGGAGGTATGGTTTTGGCGAAAGCTTGTTTTTTATTTTTTTGCTTTTTAGTTTTCTTGTTCTCGAATCATGCTCATCCCAATCTCTATTGAGTATTTCTTGATATCTTTTTTAAAAGTGAATTTGAGTTTTGAATCGTGGAAATGCTTGATTTTGTGATTCAATTTTGCGTTTAAAGCATAGCATCAAAACAGTGCTTGTGAATTAATTGCGCAGTTGCCTTGTAGTCTGTAGCATACTTGCGTCTTATAGACTTTTGCTTCCTCTGGGTTCAGTTTCTTACTATCGTCTTCATGAGTTATTCATCATCAGTTTTGTGATGTTGTTGTTGTTTCTCATTAATTGACTTGTTGGAGTTTAATCTGGTTGTTTGATCTCAGGAGAATTTGGGGTAATCTATTTTCTTTGTCGACAATGGAGGCAAGGCAATTTGCAAGAGTGAAGAACTAAGACGTCAAAGGCGTAAAAGAAAGAAGAAGAAGGAAAGTGAGACCCGCAAGGGAAAAAAAGAAACGAAATCCAAATAATGAAAAAAAATCACTTTTATAGAGTTGTACTAGAAATGATAGGCCCCACAAATGATAGTATGATCAAAACACAAAATAAAAGGAGTGTTTAAGTCAAATGATGAGTAGAAAAAGCGTGATCCATTATTTATTCAATTTAAAATTACTATTTACATTCATTCATTTCCATTCACTTATTTTTCCTGCTATCTCGATTTTCGCGTGTTAAAGAAAATCGAATAAGCACTTTTCATTCAAAGTTTGGAAACCAATATCAGTTGTAGTTATTTGAAAGGGATTCAGTTGTCTACACGTTTAGTTTTTACACATGAATTAATTAATATAAAAAGCACTAGCGCCATGTTTATTGAACCGAATACAATTCAGGATGCGATTTTTATTCAACCATGTGTTTGGTGACATACTCCAAATGAGATAAGTCGGAGAAAAACCGGCTACTTATCCAAGCTAGATTCGGATAGGATAAGAATCTTTCTTTAAAAATAGCAAAAGAAAAACAGAACGCGCCATCGGCACGTATCTCCTTAGTGCAACATCTGCACCACCATTGATGTAGATGGTGGCGCGGTTGGTGACTACAGAGCAAGGTCACTTGAGTGACTTTTAATTCTTTTGTAGATCGTGTGACCACTGTAATAGAGATAGTCGCTTGAGAGTCACGAGGCCCCGACCCTTGATTTTTGTGGCAACTCATGATAGTCTTGAACTCTTTGTCTCTAATTTTTCTCTCACAAGGGGACATCGCAGTGGTTGGTAGCCACCACGGTGGCGGCGACGTTGTGGTCGCTTCAGTTTTTAGGTAGGTTTTCTCTATTTCCGCGCCTTCTTCAATTATTTCAATGATTTTCTTTTGTTTTTTTCAATCTTAACCTAGATGCACCAAACACTTGAGGGAGATCATATATGCTAATACATACAATTGAGAGATCTTTTCTTTTCTATTTAATCTAATCGTATCTCAGTTCTTTGTCTCATGACCAAATGTAGCCTTATTTTTTACTAGAGTGTGATACCTGGTGTTGGTATCGCCGTCCCTACCTTCTTGACTAGGTGGACACCCAAGTATTATGGTAGATTGAAATTACAGAATACTTAGGGCTCATTCCGTTATTAAATTAAGTGCTGAGAATTAAAAAAATTCGACATTTGTTGAGATTAAGCTAGTCCGATAACGAATTATAAAATTCAATCAAGTAAAAATGACTCTATGGAATAAGTTCAGAGACTATATTGAACATTTTTATATAGTTCAAAGACTACATTGAACATGAACCAAAAATCCAAGGACCGCATTGAACAAATTAAAAGTTCAGGGATCACATTACACCTTGGGCTAAAATTGAGGGATCACATTAAATAAATAAAAAATTCAGGAACTATTTTGTACATTGGGCAAAAGTTCAGGGATTGTTTGTGTTATTATCTCATATATTAACTTGTGCATGGGTTAGGCTTGGACAGGCTCTGCCAAAAAAACTCCTCTAGGCCCAGCAAGCTCTTAGATTCCATGATGGGTGAGCCGAGTTTATTTGTTTTTTGCAGAAAAATGACACAAATGATGCATTGAAATTCGATCAAATGTGTAATGTTATCATCAGACTTTTAATATATTCCATATAGTCCCAAAAATATTAATAAATGTTCAATCTAGTCCGTAAATTATGTGAAAAATGGTTAATGTTGTTTTTCCATTAATTCGAGTTAATAGAATTTGTCGATGTGACTCTCAACTTGTTAACGCTGAACGGTGGATAACAAAAAATAGTTACAAAAGGTTTATCCAAGTAAGATATTCACGTCGAATTAGGATATAACGACCCACATCATCAAATAACCATGGATACGTTAAAATGCCTCGATTTTTTTCATTAATCCAAAGTAGATGGGTAAGAATGATAGACATGTTGACATCATCATTTTTAAAGATTCATATAAGCATATGATAATTCACGTCATTAAATAACGTCTGATTTGTCCTTTGAATAAGGATTACATCGGACATTCTACTAATATTTTAGGGATCGCATTGGACGAATTAAAAGTTCATGAACCACATTGCACATTGAACCAAAGTTCTCTATTTAATTATCAATTAATTTGCTTTCTTATTTGGAGATGATTTGGCAACGTGACAATTGGTGGGGTCTATCGAAAAGCTCCAAGTCACAAGATACCAGGCAGAAACAATTCTCGAGAATGTCAACAATTGAATCTGTGTGGGGCCAATCCGCTCTTTAGGCCGGCCATTGATGCTTTCCAAAATTTTCAAGTTCAACGCGGCACCACATTTCGTTTTCTTTTGGCCCTCAAGACGATGTCAGCTTGATTTTGGACCGTCGATATCGCTCGGACGGCATATGTGTCGATCATATCCGATGTCATTTCATCTGTCGCTTATCACTGATGACCCTGAAATTTTAGCTGGCTGCCTCAGGACTCAGATCAAGACATTCAAGTGATCAAAAAGGACTTTTAACTTTTTGGTTAGGACCACTCGAGCAGAGATGAGTAGCTTTGTGTGTCTGATCTTGTGAACCATGATTCGTCTGTTGTTTCTCATCTGGGTGTTCTTTGTCTCAAGCCAGGGCCAGCAATACTACGACTCCTCAACCTGTTCTTCAGCAACTCATCCTGGTTCAAGATACAGCTGTGATTATCCCCAAGAGTATTGTTGGGCGTTCTTGCTGTACCGGGCGAACCGGGACTACCCGACGATCTCGAACATTACCAAGCTGTTCGGTGCTGATCTCTACGCGGTACTTACTTTGAACAAGATTGTATCCCCCACTGAGAATCTCCAACCGGGTAGAGAAATTCTCGTTCAGATCCAATGCTCTTGTGCCGGCCAATTTTTACAGAAAAACGTGACTTATCCTGTCAGTGGAAGCACAGAGTTCTCTGAGATTGCCTGCGGAGTCTTTGAAGGTCTAGTGAAATCGGTCACGCTGGTCGACGATAACTATCCCTTTCATGGGAAATTCGCGAAAGCCGGGTCCGAGCTTGTCGTGCCCCTGACATGCGCTTGTCCTGGTAATTTTTCCCTAAGCAATGGGAAAGTACTATCCCTCGTGACATACCCCATTATGGAAGGAGACAGCATGAATAAAGTTGCGCAGAAATTCGGCATTCCCGTTAGTGACATTTGGGCAGCGAACCATCTAGACTACAGGTCAACAGTTTATACCAACTCTACGATTCTTGTCCCTTTAACAAAAGAACCGTCTCTCACTTTCACCTTACCAAATTCGCCGCCTCCCTCTCCAGGTTTTCTTCCTACAGTTCCCGTGGAGACGGCGACAGATAGTGAGAAACTTAAGAACTTGTATATTGCAGGATCCGTGGTTGGGCTGTCATTAGTACTTGTAGCGTTGATCGCTTGTGGTCTGTACTTGAAGGCCTTGAAGAGATGGAAAGGCCGGAAATTGCAGTCTTTCAATACAAGAAGCTCGCGGTTCTCATATTTGTCCACGCTAAGCTCTCCGAGGTCGGGCCATACGGGTAGAAGCTCCAGGACGTCCTGTTTGTCGCCAGATCTTCTAGTTGGGATCAAATACTCATTGAACCAATACGGCATCGAGGAGCTCAGGAAGGCGACCAAGAATTTTAGTGAAGACACCAGGATAGATAGATCAGTCTACAAGGCGTTGATTAATACTGTCGAAGTGATGATCAAAGGAAGCAACGTCAAAGAGACCCATCGGGTCATTGACGTGCACTCAAAGATCAATCACATCAATGTCTTGACTTTGCTCGGCGTTTGTTATGACGAAACAAGTGACGACTCTCGGTCATATCTCATCTTTGAGTACTTGAGCAATGGAAGCTTAAGGGACTGCTTGTCTCGGCTGGGAAATCCTCTCCATTGGCACCGCCGGACCCAAATCGCTTTTGACGTCGCAACTGGGCTTCATTATCTACATCACTGCATATTTCCTTCTTATGTTCACATGAATGTGAACAGTAGGAGCATTTTCATCACGTCCAACTGGAGAGCGAAGCTAGGAAATATCGGCCCAACGACTGCTATTGGTTCCTCAAAAGGAAACGACCATGACACCTCGATCAGTTTCAATGGATGGATCGCGCCGGAGCACATGCTAAACGGATTGGTCTCTGAGAAAGTGGACGTTTTCGCTTTCGGAGTGGTCTTGCTAGAGCTGATTTCGGGTCGAGAGGACATCGATGGTAAACAGTTCAAAGACTCCATCCAGTTTTTGGCAGGGGGAGGAAACGAAGGCGGGTGTTTTGAGCAACTGAGGGGCTTCATGGATCCGTGTTTGAAGGAGGATTATTCGCTCGCTGAGGCCTTGTGCTTAGCAGTTTTGGCCAAGGCTTGTGTCGAAGATGACCCCCTGCATCGGCCATCTATGGACGATGTGATGAAAGTGCTTGCGAGGATGGTCTGATTGGAGACAGTATGCGCATTTCGATCTTCAAGTCCAAGTGTGCAATATGTCGCATTTACATGATGCATTAGTTAGTATATTTAACTGAAGTGCTGTATAAATTGTCAATTGGGAGAAAAAGTACAATATTAGAGACTTGACTAAGGTTAAGCACCAATTCCACGTTCAAGTTCTTTTCTTCCTGAAACGCGCTTGGTGTTCCGATGTTTCACGTTTCAATTACTGTTTGATTCTGTTGACGGTCTACTAGCACTGTTCTATTTGACAAAGGTTATGCACATGTACAGAACTATTTGACATTAGGTGGTGAACATGTCATAGACACGTTATTTGACTAAATCTGCCTTGTTTAAGTCAAATCGTTAATGTCGTATTAGGATCAGAACTACCGAAATTACCACGTAATGGCGAGAACACGTGACCGAACAATTCAGTATAGATCTTCTTTAGTAGTCTACCAAATATTAATCCTCGATTAACTCTTTCTCGCTCCATCACTGTGGAAGAAGCCTGCAGGTTCTTTTCTTATCTCAAGAGCATATAAACTATCTTGAAATCATCCGGATCGTGGTAACTGCAGGTAATGATAAACCGAGAAACCGATGAGCATGCACGAGGGGAACAAAATCTCCGGCTGCTCTAATATATGATTAAGTAGCCTTTAACCAACTTCTGCACCTATTTTCCACCCTGTCAATTACATTATACTATCACTGAAAGAAGCTCTGCGTCGTCCGCTAACGAGGGCATTAACAGCAAAATCACGGATTCTCGCTTTCTAATTCGCTGTCGGTTGGACTAACCAGCTGCACCGGGCGCCTATTTATGGGTTGCAATGGCCTGGCGTTGAATTCAGAGTCCTGCAAAAGCAATAAATAAATCTTTGCATTCACAATAATTCAACTTTGTCGCTTACATTTGAAAAAGTCAGTTAAAGACCGAAACTCACATCGCGAACAGCTTCACGCAATAACTTCACTTGCTCTCTTGTGACAGTTCTCACCTGATGACGCAGCAAAACCGAAGAAAATGTTATGAACTAGGCTTATATTGAAAGTCTGGAAACATTATATTAGGGGACGTCAAGAGAACCAGAACCATCATGTTTGTAATTTTACTTGAGCAGTTCCAAAAAAGTTAGAAAGTTCACTATTTCTCTTATGAAAACTGTTTTTTTTTTTGGTAACCGAGGTGTCCGGGCCAGCTTGCGTGCACCTCGACTATTCCTCGGGAGAGACTAGCACAGCAACCCACCGCCATGGCCCCCCACTTAAATCACAAGTGCTCAGCTGGGGAATCGAACCTGGGACAAGTGCGCCTAACCACACAATCCCAAGTACGCTCTGATCAACTGCGCTACCCATGGGTGGGTCTCCTATGAAAACTGTTTTAGTTAAATAAAAACAAAAATGCTCTATGTTTCCACTCCAAGAACCAACATCTGAATTGAAAGAAAATGAAACTGCAAACCTTTTGAACAATGGTCCAGAGAACATTTTGAGTGCAGGGAGGCACCGTAAGAGAGCCCACGTATCTGTAGTAGTTTCTGCTTCCAATCTTTATGTGCTTCGGGTTCACTATTCCGATGGCTCTCTCGACTCCATGGCTATCAGCAATTCCTTCTATATGTTTCATCATCTACATATTAAAAATCATTGAAAAAATTTATTTTGTGTTTAAAACACGTAAACCAAGTACTAAATTTCGACAACAAAATAATCCCAAGTCTACCGTTGACAAGAAAGTATCGGGTTGGCCCAGCTTGTACATGACTCCTACCACAGCAATTTCGCCTTCGGGGCTTTCGTGAACCATGTGTAGCTCAAGATCGAACCTGTTAATTGAGTTAGCAAGAAAAAAAATTTGAACTTTTCTCAGTAATGCGGTCAAGGGTCTTTGATCTTTGTAAAAGAATAGTGGCCAGTTAGGGGTAAAAAGAAGAGGAGAGACCACCTTCTGCCATTAACGGCATGCTCAGAGGGCGAGTGCCAATGGCATTGCTTCAGCAAATACTGGGTTCCGTTCACATAAATGGACCCTGCACCTCCTTCCCACCTCAACTGCATAAACTCACAGAACAAACCATGCTCATCACGGTCCCATCCGATGAAAGTGAAACTGTCTAGTGTCACTTCTATAAAACTTGCCTTTTGAAGAATGTCATCATAGCATTAACATTAACATTTATAGTTACAGATCAAAAAAGGTATTGAAGCCTTTCTTGTTCTTTGATGGAAGTCATAAAAGAAATCGAATATGGCGGCGGCGAGTCTAGTCCTACCACGATGTCATGTCCCCTGTTCTTAAGCGTGGCATTGGAGGCTTCATAGCACCTCTTCAGTCTTCCCAAATGGGCCACCACTTGAACCCTCTCGCTCGAGAGATCGATCGGAGACTGCATCGATCCGTTCCTGCACGTCCCCCATTCCCTCCTGATCTCTCCCCACCGTGCCGGACCTCTCTCGCTCCCCGCATCATAATTGAACAGGCTCTCGTCCTCTGCAACATCAAAGAGACCAGTGTAACCAAAAACAAACTCACGCTCACAAGTCATACAAACCAACAAAGAGTCGAAGCCTAAGTAAGTTTATGTCCGCTTTCGCAGGCCGATACCCACCAACTTCCTCTGATGTCGCAGGACCCACATGATGAGCAAGAAAGAGGAAGACAGTGCAAAGCAAGATTCGGGCCACCAAGAGCTTCATCTTTGTCCTCTTCTTTTGCAATGCTGTGTCTCCTATGTTGTGGGAGAGATGCTTCTCTTTATATAGGACTCAAAAGAGTGAATTGAAAGAACTTGTTACAGTGGATGGAGTGCTTGAACACATGACGTCGAGAGGACTTGGCAGTCTGAATGCATGGACGAGGGCAGGAAGCAGTTGAAATTGCCGGTCAACATTTCGTCACCATGAAGATTATTAAAAGCGAAAACAAGAGCCATCGCCATCACCATTTGAGGTTGCTTCTTGTTCTTTTATTCTATGTTGCCTCTTCTTGAACGTACTTACTGGGGACGAGCCCATCTGATTGCCAACGTCTGTGGTGACGAATTCACGAGCGACTGAATACGAATGTTCGTATTCTAATATAATGGAAACCTGTTTATTTCTTGTCATTTCTTGGCTCACTTATTTTATAGGGATTCGTTCCCGTGCTTAACTCGAGTAATTATCAAACAATCCCTGTGCTGTTAAGCAATCCATGTCGATTCTACGTTAATCTCATTATATTTGACGGTCCAGATTCAATTTTGTAGATGCATTAGATACACCGAATACTCTCTCGAGTTGAAGGAGTGTGAAGCAATTTGGTCTAATAGGGGCTTGTTTGGTAACCCTCATATTTCTTTATTTTTTAGTTTTATTGTTCCCCGGAATAGAAAAAGAACGTAAATTCGTTTGGTAACATTAGTTTTCCCCGAAATAGAAAAATAGCCAGGTAATAGATTTGGAAAAGAAACAAAAAGTAAAAAAAAAATACACTTCTTTGTTCCTGGGAACAATTTCTGAAATAAGGCCATGTTGATTTCTTTTTTCTTCATTTTTTCCTTCCTTCTCCTCCTCCTCTAGCCGGTTGCCGGGCCTCGACAAGGTCGACCTCGCCGTGGCTAGGCGAGGTCGGCCTCGTCGTGGCCGGGCGAGGTCAACCTGGGCTAGGCTCAACCTCGCCTAGCCATCGTGAGGTCGGCTTCGGTAGGCTCGATCTCGTTGGCCCTTGTCTCTGGCTGGTTGTCGGTCATCGCCAAGGCCCGGCGACCAGCTAGAGGAGGAAGAAGAAGGGAGGAAAAAAAGAAAAAGGAGAAAAAGGAGAAAAATTATTTAAAAATTAAAAAAAAATTCACGTCACAAAATTTATTTAGAGTCGTACTTAACGCTTTTCTATTCTTTTTCAATCCCGAAAATAGAATTTTTGAACAGTTATTAATCGTGTTCTTCTGCTCAGAAACTCATCCAGAGAATATAAATAAATAAAATTATTTCTAAAAAGGAATTAATCCCGGGAATAGAAATGTTACCAAACGCACCTTAGAGTTACGTCGTGGAGAAACGGATGATCCAATAGACACTAGAAAGTCCACAGTTAAACCCCCTCGACATACAAGATCGACTTCGATTTCAATTCAATTAAAAGATTTCGTTCTTCTCGCTTTAAACACCTTCCCCTTTTCTTCTTCCAAAGCATCAAAAACGCACTTGTCTAGAATTCCAGTGTGTTGAAAATCGCCAATCGGGTCGTGTTTGCAGCACATATCAGAATTCTGAAGCGCATTTCAAATTTCTTCGTCATAACCTTTGTAAAGAATAGAAACATGTAAGAAATAGGCCAAAGATGAGACTCGTTGAACTCCGGGTCAAATTCTGACCCAGCTAAAAAGAAAAGAAAAAGAGAACTCCGGCTCAAATGATGTGCACATCGGGCAACCAAAGTCCAAACAAAGGACTTCGAGTAAGTTGATGTTCAGTTGGAAAAAGAAAAAGGAGATTTCATTCAACGACCCACTAAATAAAATGCCAAAGAAATACCCACATTTTCAATCATAGGAAAAAATTTCGGACCCAAAAGGAAAAAAAAATCATACGAAAAAAACTGCAAAATACAAGCTCCGTTTGTTTCGCGAAAAATGAATGATTTAAAGAAATACTTTTCTAAAAATCGCCGCTTGTATCGCTTAAAATAGTTAATCGATAAAAAATGCTTTTAGTACCAACAACAATTTATGTGAATCGTTTTCGTGGACGATGACAATATCAATACAAGCGATCACTTTTAGAAAAATATATTCTAAATCGTTCATTTTTCGTGAAACAAACAGAACCGTAACTCGTGTTTGTTTTGCCTTCGCTTGTGGAAAATTGTCTTAGAAGCGATTGAAGATCATACACAACAAGGGACGTTGGGATCGCTACTCATCCATGAGCATAAAGAGACTTGCCTAAAAGCTGAATCCTATAAAGGGAATTTACAGCTGAAAATTTCATATTTTGTTGAATCCATTCATGATTTGCAGGGGTGGGGAGACTTACCAAAAAAGTTCTAAATCTATTACAATTATGTAAATGCAATCGTAAACCTTCTTTTTTGTCAATTTAGGTCTAAATTTTTTTCATTTATACCAATTCAGTCTATCCATCCAATTTTGTCCGGCCGGCGTTGACGTGAACGCCAGCCATCTTACGTGGCATGATTGGTTAGGATGGCCGGCGTTGACGTGGATATATTTAAATAATATATTAATAATTTTAAATTATTTTATTTTCTTTCTCCTTTTTTTTTTCTTCTTCCCTTCTTTCTTCCTTCGGCCAGTCGCCGGCCAAAGGCGAGGTTAGCAGGTCGGCCTCGCCAGGGGCGAGTGAGGCCAGCGACGGCGAGGTCAAGCCTCGCTTAGCCATGGCATGGTCGAGCCTTGCCGGCCCTTGCCTCTAGAGGAAGAAGGAAGGGAAGAAGAAAAAAAAGAAAGAGAAAGAAAAGAAAATTAAAAAATAAGTTAAAAAAGAAAAAAATATTATTAAAAAATATCTATATTAGTGTCGACCGGCCAAAATTGACCGGAGAGATTGAATTGTCATAAATGCAAAAGGTTGGGAACTCAATTGGCCAAAAAAAATAAAGGTTTATGACTAGATTTAACACTTTTTTGGTAATTTTCCCTTCAATATTAGCATAATTTATTCGTACATGGATGCTCACATAGTTGATTAATTCTGGTAGTAGCGAGTGTAAAAGGAACCCCTCTAATTCAAATTATTGAGCGATGCTAGAGATGTCAAGATCGATTATACAAAACTTAATTCGTAACCTAACAACAAATTTGACTCGTCACTTTACGAACGAATTATTCACACTCCGCCATTATGCTTTCACATATATTGATTTGGTTTCTTTCTGCAAACGATGAAGAAGATAGTGTCAACCGTCAAAGCGTTTGACGAGTTTTTTGAGAACTCTTTTACACTTAATAGCACAGATGGTTGGATGGGCCCTGGATAAATTAATTGTTATATTTTTTTTTGGGAATGAAACGCCAAAAGAGAGTTTTGTTTTGCTTCATTAAAGTTCTGTATTACTCTATCATTGCGTAATGGCAAATGTCAATGGCCTAAAAAAAATTAATTGTATAAAAGACTCGCGAGTCGGTGCGGAATTTCAAGCTTTAGGAAAATCCTAATTTAAGAATGAAAGATATGGACCAACACGCTCGTGCCTCAGTCATCATGTGAGTCACCATCTTCACATTAACCTGTGAATTTCAATGAGAAACTAGTGCAAACAGTAATTCAATTTGACTCGATCAATATCCATCGATCCATCAAGAATTTAGTGCATTCCGTGCGTTAGCACATTTTTATATACCATTTAATTGGTTTGAATTCACCACTTTAGGTATAGAATGAATTCTCCTCCATGATGATATTTCATTTTGTAGAAAAGGGTGAGATCGCTTGAGAAAGGAAGCTCCGATGAGGTCATTATCATCATAATTCTGCCTTTGATTATATCTTCAAACGTGCTTAGAGATTTTACCCAACTACTAAAGCGGAATCATTCTCCACCCACCCAAAATGGACTTCACTAACAAGGATAATTTCTTTTATACTCATGTAAAATACTTGGATTTCTCATTTGTTCATTAGTCAAATTCAAAAATCGTGCCACCTGAGAAGATATTTTATCTACAAATCACGTCACACGGCAATGACACATGGAGAAGAAGCAAGAGATTTTAGAATTTAAACATAAAAGTCGATTGGAATGCAAACGATACGAACAATTTGACCGATTGATTGAAAACCAACTTTAAACTTGTAAAAAGGAATAGTTACATAGAACTTCAGAAGATCAATCGGCTGGAAATTCGGCCCTAAGCTATCGTAATTTATTGCGAATGGTGAATGTTGGGGCTTCGCCGAAATTGAATGTAAAAGATGTCTTCATGCTAGAAAATTTAGCCCACCACTTCATAAATGCTTCTGGGGATCAAAATCACTTCCATTCCACCTAAGTTTGTGGTTAAGGAAGACCACGTGGGCGATAGTTAACGTGTTTTTGACTAAATTACACCTAAGTTTGCGCAGCATGAAAGACGTGGTCTTCGATCTTCTTCAACATGAAGGTAGCAGCGAGGGCCACCAACTCTCGCCACTCCAATGGCAAGGGGCGCGTCACCTTAGGTATACACGATGGTATGCCCTTGCTATAGATTTGAGTGCCAGAATGGCGACCGTGGCGATGTCATAGCAACCTCGCCCCCCAAACCCACACACGGATTGATGTTGCTTTTTCAGCAGCAGAGGTGGCGACAAGGGCCACATCTGCTTCGCCTGAGTCCGGCCAAGGATGTCGGCACTCACCGATGCGTGGGTGGCGAGGACACCACCTCCGCCTCAATTGCTGCTACATAGGGATGAGCACAGTTCCGTGGTAGAATCTGGAACTCGAGAACCTGACCGGTAGGAACCTATAAGTTTCAGGTTCCAAGGTATACTGGATAGGTTCCAGGTTCCAAAAATTGGGAAATCTATTTTGATAGGCAGGTTCCAAGTTCCAAGTTTTTTGTGTTTTTTTTTTAGTCTATGTCTTCAAGTGATTCTGCGGTGTTTTATGGTGTTAAATGATGAATGTATAATCTGGAACCACTAGTCCGAGCTTTCATTTTATGACTTATTAATGTTTCATATTCTTCATGTGTTTATATATAAGTTTTAGTCAGTGGATCGTAGCAGCAAGTGGTGGTCATTAAATGTGATGATTTTCTACAATTGTTCAATTAATAATATAGGTGGAACCTGAGTAGATCACGGAACGACCCTGAAACTTGTGACATGATAGATTCCAGGTTCCAAGATATATAGGGTAGGTTCCATGTTCCAAAAATTGAGGAATATGTTCCTATGGGTAGGTTCCAGGTTTTAACTGGAACCTGTACGAAACCTGAAAACGAAATCTGGAACCGCTCACCCCTACTGCTACATGTCTCCCCCGTCTCCTTTGTCTTGATTTCTCTAGTTTTTTAAAAAAAATATTTTTATTTGTTTTTCAAATTTTATTTTTTTAAAAAATTTGAAAATAATGTTTTATATTTTAATTGCCACATAGGATGCCACGTAAGGTGACACGTCAGTATTTACTAGCCAAGTTAGCATCTTTGTTTGTATTTTTTAACGGAATGATCGCCAATTTGAACATAAAAGTATATAGTTTAGAGAACTCATCGCACAAAAATAATCGACACACCTTATTGAACATTTTGCGGTACTTCGAGGATCTCCGGTGCCTTTATCCCAGATGCATAACTTGAGAGACTATAATATCTTTAAAGGACAAATCGTAGTAATGGTACTACGTCCTATTATTGCTATTATCATTATTATTTCAACTTCTGCGTATTATCTTCTCTTACAAGCATTTCCCTACATTTCTTTTACAGTTTTATGGCCCGAACAAATTATTTCGTACATTTGAACTACGCAAAGGCTCAAACATATTCCAAAACACCAGTCAAAAACCATCGACCACCTTGACCATCACGCTCCTCCCAATCTTCGTACATGTTATCCCGATCCTATCCGCACATCGAGAGCCATTGCATACCACCCAATTGACAGTGCAACAATCCGTCCAGAGTTTTTGTGGTACTGCCATCGCACTCTGATGCCCCACCAGCTCCACTTTTGCTGAAATCGGTGTTCGTCAAGGTCGCTCGAGTGGAAGATGTTACCGAGGGTGAGCAACGATATTTAGGGTAGGATTTGTTGCGACAGTGCATAGTGCCCAAGGCCAATGTCCTCCACTGAACGGTGATGGTGTACCACGACATATTGTGTGCCTAGGTCGGGATCGTCGTGGCACCTTCCGTCAATGCATATCAATTGGCCGGTGCAATCATCTAGGGTTTGACAAGTTCCGTTGCATGAGAAGATGGCGCGTGATGGAGATGAAAAGAGAGTGATGCTGATAACAATTGAAAGAGCTAGGAAGAGTGCCACAAAGGACTTAATTGAACGTTCAAGTTGATTTGGTGAGGAGAGAAAGAAAGCTTGGAGGTGCTGATATAGAGTCTCTCATGCTCCAAGTTGGCTCAAGAAAGAAAGAGCTTAATCACTAAACTCGCCTTTTGTTTTGAAATAATTTAACATATTGTAGAATTTATTTGTGTCAACTGATGTGCTGACTCATAGTCTCCATTTGCGGGATCCAAACCAAAAATCACTATCTATCCCCATGCTTTCCGGGGTTGTGTGTATGTACATATAGCGATTGGACCTACTTACAGCTTTGTTTTTTTCTCACGGACGTGGAGAAATGGAGTAGTCTCCTTTTAGTTTTGCCTTGCGAAAATTACCAAAAACATCATAAACCTATTGTAATTGTGTCAATTCAGTCTTAAAATAATCAACTTTATAATTGTACCAATTGAAACATTTTCATATTTTGCCAATTAAGTCCATCCGGCCAATTTTAACTGAAAATCGCTAACGTGGACGACGATCGTCCTACGTGGCATTGCCAATTCTAACGTGGACATTAGCGCTAATGTGGACATTTTAAAATAACATTTTTATAATATTTATAATTTTTTTCTTTTATTTACTCTTTCTTTGTTTCCCTAGACTTAGGGCCAGTAATCTCGCCAGCCACAGGCGAGGGTCGGGACGCAACGGATGTTGCTAAGAAGTGGTGAGACTAGCGAGAGTCGCGACCTAGCCTGACTCACTCGACCCGCACATTCTCATGTTGCTTTTTCGGTAGCGGAGGTGGCGGTGAGGGCCACATCGGCTTCGCCTAAGTCGAGGCAGGGGTGCCAGCCCCTAGTCGATGCGGGGTGGCGGTGATGCCACCTCCGCTACATGTCCCCTCCTCCTTTGCTTCAATTATTAACTCTTTCTCAATCTATCATTGCAGTAGTAGTATCCTGCAAGTTCTTTTCCTGTCTCAAGGGCATATAACTGGCATGAAATCAAAGAAAAGAATCCGGATCATGGTAACTGCAGGTAATAATAAACTGAGAAACCGATGAGCATTCAAGAGGGGAACAAAATCTCCGGTTGCTACAATATATGACTAAGTATCCTTAAACCAACTTCTGCAACTATTTTCTACTCTGTCAATCACATTTTACTATCACCGCAAGCTCCGCATCGTCCACTAATGACGGCATTGACAGGGAAATCACGGATTCTCGCTTTCTGATTCGCTGTCGGTTGGACTATATAGCTGCACTAAGCGTCTGTTTAGGGGTTGCAATGGCCTGGCGTTGAATTCCGAGTCCTGCAAAGGCAATAAACAAATCCTTGCTTTCACAATAAAATTCAACCTTGTCGCTTACAATTGAAAATTTAGCTAAAGACGGAAACTCACGTCGCGAACAGCTTCGCGCAGTAACTTCACTTGCTCTCTAGAAACAGTTCTCACCTGATGCCACGGCAAAACAGAAGAGAATGTCATGAACTAGGCTTACATTGGAAGTCAAAACATTACATAAGGGACATCAAAAGAACCGAATCATATAGTGTAGATGATGCTTATGGCAATGTCACAAGGACATATCATGTCTGCAAGTCTACTTGAGCATTCCATGACGGTAGAAAAGTTCACTATTTCTCCTTGAGGACGGTCTTATAATAATAACGAAATTATACCTTGTTTTGACAAAAATGCTTTCCACTCCAAGAACCAAAATCTGAAGTGAAAGAAAAAGAAACTGCGAACCTTATGAACGATGGTCCAGAGAACATTTTGAGTGCAGGGAGGCACCGTGAGAGAGCCCACGTATCTATAGTACCTTCTGCTTCCAATCTTTATGTGGTTCGGGTTCACTATTCCGATGGCTCTCTCGACTCCATGGGTATCAGCGATTCTTTCTATATGATTCATCATCTACATATTAAAAATCATTGAAAAAATTTATTCTGTGTTCTGAACACGTAAACCAAGTACTAAATTTCGACAACAATATAATCCCGAGTCTACCGTTGACAAGAAAGTATCGGGTTGGGCCAGCTTGTACATGACTCCTACCACAGCAATTTCGCCTTTGGGGCTTTCATGAACCATGTGTAGCTCAAGATCAAACCTATTAATCGAGTTAGTAAGAAAAAAATTGAGCTTATCTTAGTAATGATCTTTGTAAAAGGATAGTGGCCAGTTAGGGGAAAAAAGAAGAGGAGAGACCACCTTCTGCCATTAACGGCATGCTCAGAGGGCGAGTGCCAATGGCATTGCTTCAGCGAATACTGGGTTCCATTCACATATATATACCCTGCATCTCCTTCCCACCTCAACTGCATAAACTCACAGAACAAACCATGCTCATCATGGTCACATCTGATGAAACTGTCCAGTGTCACTTCTATTTAACTTGTCTTTTTAAAAATGTCATCATAACATTAACAATTATAGTTACATGTCAAAAAAGGCATTGAAGCCTTTCTTGTTCTTTGATCAATGTCATAACAGAAATCAAACATAGCGACAGTGAGTCTAGTCCTACCATGATGTCATGTCCCCTGTTCTTAAGTGTGGCATTGGAGGCTTCATAGCTCCTCTTCAGTCTCCCCAAATGGGCCACCACTTGAACCCTGTCGCTCAAGAGATCAATCGGCGACTGCATCGATCCGTTCCTGCACATTCTCCACTCGCTCCTGATCTCTCCCCACCAAGCCGGACCTCTCTCACTCCTTGCATTGTAGTTGAATTCGCTCTCGTCCTCTGCAACATCAGAAAGACCAAATGCAACCAAAGTCCACGTCACGCTCACAAGTCATATGAACTGAGAAAGAGTTGAAGCCTATGTAAGTTTCTGTCCACTTTCGCAGGGCGATACCCACCAACTTCTTCTGATGTTGTGAGACCCACATGAAGAGCAAGATCGAGGAAGATAGTGCAAAGCAAGATTTGGGTCACCAAAAGTTTCATCATTCCTCTTCTTTAGTAATGCTGTGTGTCCAATGTTGTGGGAGAGATGCCTCTTTATATAGGAGCTAAAGAGTGAAATGAAAAACTTGTTACAGCGGATGGAGTGCTTGACCATATTACGTCGAGAGGACTTGGCAGTTGTAATGCGTAGACGAGGGTGTGAGACAGATGAAATTGCCGGTCAAAATTTCGTCACCATGAAGATTATTAAAAGCGAAAACAAGAGCTATGCCATTTGAGGTTGCTTCTTGTTCTTTTATTCTATATTGCCTCTTCTTGAACGTACTTACTGGGGATGAGCCCATCTGATCACCAACGTCTCTGGTGACGAATTCAGGAGCGACTTAATACGAATGTTCTTATTCTAATTTAATGGAAACCTGTTTCTTTCTTGTCATTTCTTGGCTCAATTATTTTATAGGGATTCATACCCGGGCTTAATACGAGCAATGATCAAGCAATCCCTGTGCTGTTAAGCAATCCATATTGATTCTACGTGGATTTCTTCAGATTTGACGATCCAGATTCTAAACGTCTCTATTGACGAATTCGGGAGTCACTAAATATGAATCTTCTAACTCTTATTTAATGGAATCTGCCTCTTTCTTATCAAACACATATCTGAATTCTAAACCGTATTTTACTTTTTTATAAGCTGTAAGATTTATGAAATCTAGGTTATGACAATAGGGAAAATTGTCCAAGAAATCCTAAACTTATTGTACAGCGGTCGATTCAGTCCTAAACTTTTCAATTTATTTCTTTTCCTCCGCCGGTTGCCAGGGCCTCGGCGATGGCCGACAGAGGGAAATAGGAAAAATAAAAAAAAAAAATGCAAGAAAAGGAAAGGGAAAAACTCAAAAAAAATTTAAAATTGCAAAAAAAATCCGCGTCAGCGCGAACCGTATTACATAGGGCGGCTAGCAAATTGTTAAGAGATTTAGGACTAGATTGGTCAAATTAAAAAGTTTAGAATTGAATTAGTTGCCGTACAATAGGATTAGGACTTTTTTTATCAATCATCTCTATGACATGGTACGGGGCAGGACGTGTCATATGGGAATTAGGAGTAAAAGACAATAGAAAGTTCCCAGTTTTCTTACCCAAAAGCAACGAGTCTAAACATGTAAATAGGCCAAAGATGAGACTCGTTGAACTTTGGGTCAAATGATGTATATATACAATAAGCAATCGATGTAGTCTTAAACTTTTTCAGTTTGGCCAATTTAGTCCTAAATCTTTTAACGATTTATCAATGTAGTCTTTCCGACCAATTTTGACCAGAAATCGCTGACATTGATGATTTTTGCATTTTTTTAAAAAAATCAAAATTTTCTTCTTTTTTTTTTTTCCTTTTCTTTACTTCCTTTTTCTGTTTTCCCTATTTTCCTCGCCGGCCAGGGAAATAGGAAAAATGAAAAATGAAACAAAAGGAAAGGTATAAATTCAGAAAATTTTTAAAAATTACAAAAATTGTCCACCACATGCTGGTCGTATTAAATAAGACGGCTGGCATCCATCCACCTCAGCAATTTCCGATCAAAATTGGCCATAAGAACTATATTAGCAAATCGTTAAAAATTTTATGATTAAATTGGCCAGATTGAAAAGTTTAAGACTGAATTGGTCACCGTATAATAAGTTTAGGACATTTTCGACAATCATCTCTATGACATGGCATGGGGCGGAACGGGTCATTTGGAATTAGGAGTCAAGACCATAGAAAGTTGCCAGTTTTCTTACCCAAAGCCAACGGGTTTGAACATGTAAATAGGCCGAAGATGAGACTCGTTGAACTCTGGGTCAAATGATGTATGCATTCAACAGGCAACCAAATTCAGAGAATGAACTTCGAGTTAGTTGATATTCAGTCAGAGAAAGCAAAGGAGATTCCTTCAACGGCCCACAAATAAAATGGCAAGAGATACACATATTTCAGTTTCTAAGAAGAATTGCGAATGTAAATCGGGCTATCGTTGCAATCTCTCCAGTTCCGATTCAATCGTTAGTCACCCGTGATTTAAGTTTCCCGCGCACAAGCGTCAAAAAAGTCAAAGTTAATCAAATTAGAAGTGACACGTGAAATTTGACGAACAAAGACCGGGCAAGGGAAATAAACCAGAGCATAATCTAGCTCTTGTGTCGGGAAAATTACCAAAAAAATCATAAACCTAATATACGGATGTCAATTTAATTTTAAATTATTCAATTTGACTAATTTAGTTCTAGACCTTTTGACAATTTACAAATATAATCTTTTAGTTTAATTTTGACCAAAAATAGCTAACGTGGACGCTGACCGTCTTACGTGGCACGGCCAGCATGACGTAGATAATTTTTGCAATTTTTCAAAAATTTTCTGGTTTTTTATTATTCTTTATTATATTTTTTTCATTGTGACCGCGCGAGGGTTGAGGCCGTCACCCAGGCTGCGAGGGTTGAGACATCGCTGGCCACTATGGAAAAAAACGAAAAGAAAAAATAAAACGAGAATAAAAAATTCATGAATTTTTTTAATTAATTACAAAAATTGTCTACGCTCAACAGTTTTCGGTCAAAATTGGTTGGAATGACTATATTGGGAAATTATTAAAAGGTTTGGGACTAAATTGAGTAAATTGAAAGGTTAAGGACTGAATCGGCATCCGTATAATAAATTTATGACTTTTTTTTTTATAATTTCCCGTTTGATACCATCTATATTGTTAGAATATTTAAGCTACTAGGTGAAGGAGATAACATGTATATTGTTAGAAAATTTAAATATTAAATCACGTTTTCATCTAACAGTTTAAACTTTTAGAACAGTTAGCATTGGTCCTCACAAAATCCAACATAATATTTGAGCAGAGGGTCATAAGTTCAATAGACCCTTATAGAGTAGCATCGAGCACACAAAATCACACACATTCCAAAATATATACATAACAATTAATTTGTGTAGTGCCGTGTACAACCACTTCGACTTAAGTACAAAAGAGTTCTCGATCGAAGGCTCGCCAAACACGTCGACTCTTATCTTCTTCATCTTTTGCAAAGAGAAGCCAAATCAAATTATGTGGAAGAATACCGGCAGAGTGTGAATAATTGATTCGTAAAGTGATGTGTCAAATTTGTATTATGTTTTAAAATAAGTTTTCTATTTCGATGTCGACATCTCTAGCATCGTTCATCATGTAAACCAAAAAAAGAAAAAGAAGAAGAAGTAAAGAACGTGTTTGTTTTGCCTTCACTTGTGGAAAAGTGAGTCAGAACTCAGAAGCACTTGTAGATCATGCACAACGAGGGGACATAGAGATCTCCATTCATCCGAGAACGTTAATAGACTTGCCAAAATGTGAATCCCATAAAGGAAATTTACAGCTGAAAATTTTCTTATTTTGTTAAATCCATTCATGATTTGCAGGGTGAAATATAAATTATATTCTCAATATTAGCATCATTTATTCGAACATCATATCATACGGTTGATTAGTTCCGGTTGTAGTTTGTCTAACGAAAATTTCTCTGAAACCTCTAGTATTCCTCCTCATGCGTAGGTTGAAATTTGATCTAAGATTAAGCGTGAAAATATGTAATAAGAGAGGCAAATAAGGAGTCTGGAAAGATATGAACTTATGACATTCTAATTTGTTAACACATTGCTCTTTATATATATATATATATAAATATAAGATTTTGTAGAATCACTGTCAACTGATCTAAAAGTTTAAGATGTTAAATGAATGCATGGTTTATTATTTAAATATTTTAAAAGAATGAAATGCCGAGAGAGAGAATTTGTGTTGCTTCATTAAAGTTCTCTATGACTCCATCATTGCGTAATGGCAAATGTCAATGGCATAGAAATATACTTTTTACAAGACTCGCAAGTCAGAGAGAGTGTCAAACTTTAGAAAAATCCCAGTTTAAGAATGAAAGATATTGACCAACATGCTCGTGCCTCGGTCATCATGTGAGTCACCATAACTTCACATTTACCTGTAAAATTCAATGAGAATTTAGTGCAAACAGTTTTTCAATTTGACTCGATCGATCAAAGATCCTATCCCTCAATTAAGTGTGTCGCGTCGTGAAGCGATGCCCTCACGGAAGCAAGAAAAAAGCATTGCTTGTGTTCCACATTTTATCTACCATTTAATTGGTTTGAATTCACCACTTTGCTTGACCAAAAAAAAAAAAAATTTCACCACTTTGGATATGGTATGAATTTTCCTACATGATGATATTTGAGTTTGTAGAAAAGGGTTATTTCGTTTGAGAAAGAAAGCTATGATGAGGTCATTATCATCATAATCATGCTTTTGATTGTAACTTAAACGTGTTTAGAGGTCTACCCATCTACAGCGGATTCATTCTCCATCCACCCACCCAAAATGGACTTCACTTATTTCTTCCGTTCAAATTAGTCGAATGAGATAAATTTCTTTGATAGCCGGGTAAAAAATTTGGACCTTCTATTTGGCACATTAGTGAAACTCATACATCTTGCCACACACCCGAGAAGATATTTTATCTACTCGTCATGACACGCGGCAATGTCACATGGAGAAGAAGTTAGACCCTAAGAGCAATTCGATTGAATAATTGAAAACCAACTTTCAACTTGGAAAAAGAAATTGTTACATAGAACTTCAAAAAAAAAAATCAACTGGCCGTAATTCATCGGAAATTTAGCCCAAAGCTTTAATTAAAAAATTATAAAAATTATAAAAATTATCCACGTCAGCACCAACTGTGCCACGTAGGACAACCGGCGTCCACATCGGCAATTTCTAGCCAAAATTGGCCGGGTGGACCGTATTGACAAAATGTCAAAAGGTTTAGAATTCAATTGGTACAATTGAAAAGTTTATGACTGAATTAGCAGAAATGCAATAAGTTTAGGATTTTTTTGGCACTTCTTCCGTCAAGTGGTGACAGGGGCGTCTGCCTCCACTTCAGTATGGAAATCTTCTATTACATAGTCGAATGTAAATATGATCACATATGAGACTTTTGTAGCATACATTTATGAACGTGAAATTTTTTTTACACAAATGATGTAGAGATCACGGCATGTATACTTAAGCATTTATATAAGGAATAAGTGCACTAGAAGTCTTAAAACTTATTGCGAAAGTGCAATTGAGTTATAAAATTACAATCAAGTCCTAAAACTTGTCAAGAAAGTGCAATCGAGTCCCAAAACTTTTAAAAAGTACAATCAATAGAAGAATTTGATTAGACCAATTTAATAAGTTTTAGGACTTGATTACACTTTTTGAAAATTTTAAAATTTAATTGTACTTTTTGTAAGTATTAGGACTCAATTGTATTTTTGTGACAAGTTTTAGGACTTTTAATATACTTATCTCTTTATATAAATAAGATAATGGACTGATATCTCGACCCCGACCGTGCTTGTGCGAAGAAAAAAGGTTAGACTGACGCCTGCCGTTGTTTCCTATCCATACCTACTATTTATCAAAAGAAACCGCGGGAGCTATTGACGAGGTAAGTGTATCCCGTCACTTTTTAAACAGCTGGAATAAAGTGTATACGGTTTTAATACAGTACTTTTCTTTGTATTAAGTGTAGTCAATACTAATTTTTTTGATGAAAATAGGCGATGAAGATGGACCCATTGGTCGGTTGGGCTCATCCCCTTCGGAAAATAAAAATGGGCCCACCATCGTTGATGTTTTTCACAGGTCCCATTAGTCGTTCCAAAGAGAGAGGAAAAACAATAATTCACGCTTTCGTATGAATATCGACTTCTAGAAAATGAATCAATCGTGCCATGAATTCAAGACGAGAAATCATAGATTTCCTTTTGGAATATTTTACGTACGTATGTCTGGATATATGCACGCATGTATTGGTAAGAACAGGGGCACGAAGGACCAAGAACATTTAAGGGTTATAACATCTCGTGATATAGCTAATTTGAGAGGGTCCCCTCCTTCTCCTCTTATTTTGATTTTGCTTATTCTTTTTTTCTTCTAATTTTTTTATTGCATTTTAATGTTAATGTTTCTAAACTTCTGAAAATAACTTTGTACTTTAATCGCTATGTAAGGTGACACGGTCATTTTTTAATGGCCACGTCAACATCTCCTTTCATATTTTTAACGAAAGGATAACCATGTCGAAAAAAAAAGTATATAGTTTAAAGACTTAATTGCACAAAAAGAATTTGAGAGACCCGATTGAATACTTGATGAGGAATCTCCGTTTCATTTATCCCAAATATATACTCAAGAGACTATATTATCTTTTAAAAGACAAGCGTGGTAATGCTACGACTTATCATGATTATTATTTCAACCTCTGCATATTATCTTCTCTTACAAGCATTTTCCTTAGTTTCTTTTACGGTTTTGTCGCACTGACATCTTATTTTGCACATTTGGACTACATATACGCACGGCCTCAACCATGCTAGAAACCACCGGTCAACAACCCTCAACCCTAAGAACTTATTCATCGTCATTTCCATCGTCTCTGGGGAAGGAAAACACAAAGATTTCTATGCCATGGACCACGTGACATCCTCTTCACCCAATTCTATGTCTAGCCCCAGAGCGTGCCACACCGCATTTGAACCGTCGACGATGTCGTTCCCGCACGGCAGGTCATCATCATGCTCGCCATCGCACCCATTCATAGAGTCGCACTCGTCAACCACCTTGGCCATCACGCTCCTCCCGGTCTTCGTAGATGTTATCTTGATCCTATCCCCACATCGAGATCCGCCGGCATACCACCCGGTCGACAGTGCAACAATCAGCTCTGAGTTCTTGTGGAATCTGCCGTCACACTCCGACACCCCACTGCCACCGCCTCTGCTGAAATCGTTGTTTGTCAAGGTCGCTCGAGTGGAAGACGTTACCAGGGGCGAGCAACCATATTTAGGGTAGGACTGGCCGTGGCAGTGCATAGTTCCTGAGGGCCGACATCCTCCACCGGACGGTGATGGAGTATTGGGACAAGTGTGTGTGCCTACGTCGGGATCGTCGTGGCACCTTCCGTTGATGCATATCAATTGGCCGGCGCAATCATCTAGGGTTTGACAAGGGCCGTTGCATGAGGAGATGGCATGTGAAGGAGATGAAAAGAGAGTGATGCTAATAACAATCGGAAGCGCTAGGAGGAGTGCCCCAAAGTACTTCATTGTTCAACTTTCGAAACTGAACGTTCAGGTTGATTTGGTGAGGAGAGAAGAAACCTTGGAGGTGCTTATATAGAGTCTCTCTCGCGCTCCATATTGGCTAAAAAAAAGTTATTCATATTTTGCGAAGACTTTCTGGGAAAAATACATCTTTTTGCTTAGATTCTATCGAAGAAATTATAAAAAAGTCCAGATATTTTTTGTCAAAATCGATAAACTCCAATCTGTGGAACGTTGGATGGGATTCATCAAAGCAAAAGAACTCCATCAAAACTCACGAAGAGCCTTGGTTCAATTGTACGTCTCTTCACTAGCTGTCAGTTGCAATCACGGGAATCTCATCTTGGACACTTCTTTTGGTCCATTCAGTTCTTGTTCTGTAATAATTACAAAATACGCTTTAGGTTTTCATAAGCAAACGACAAATGCCTGTTGAAAAAGAATTTCTCTTGAATTATATGTGTTCTTTTAGGGAGAGTAGTTTTCAAAGCCTTATGGTTAGGGTCGTATCTCTTTTGAAATAATTACTAAGCCTCAATGTTACGATCATACTCTACCAGCATGGAAGCCACTTTAGGGTGTTAAATTTACGACCCTTGATTCTTAATGACGCGAACTGAATCATGTATTGTATTAAGGGTGCGTTTAGAAATGCTTAAGGGAAAAGCGATTGGGAAAATGCAAATGACTTTAGTTGAACGAGAATTTTCAAAATGCAAATAGTACTTAGTAAAGTGTATTTTGTGAAGCAACAGTGACTTAATATCCATTGGGAAAAACTACACTTTGTAAAAGACTTTTGCCAGTTTTTTTTTTAAGTATTCTCAAACTATTTGCTGGCAGAAGTTAGCCGTCAGCAAGCCAAATCGGCCGCTGGCCAGCCTCGCCTGAGATCGCACGACCTCACGTGAGGATGTTCAACAATAGATTGGCTTGTGGCTCGCCGGTGGCCTGAACCCTCACCAATGACGTCGCGTGAGGTATGGACATTTCTAGAATTATGAAAGTTGAGTGAAGGCAAATTTAGAAGAAAAAAAGTTGCATCTGCGTTCTGTAAATGCTCAAAACTCAAAACACCTCTGGATCCACCTTGGGTTAAAGGCATTTAGAGGCCTTTAGAAATGCAATTGCATCTTCCTAAAACCCTTCAAAAAAAATTTCAAACAGTATTTACATTTGCCCAATGAACTTTGAAGCCCAAAGACCCTTATCAAATCATTTTCCAAACGCACCTTAAAACGCAATAAAACCCCACACCGCTTACACGATATAGGCAAATACGAAATTTTGGGGTGTACTCATTTGTTCACAAGATGCTGCCCGCATTAGTTTCTATTTGGAGAGAGTCTGACCAAAAAAGGGTTCGAAACAAGGCAGAAAAAGGATTTCATGAACAAGTACGAGGACGTGCCACACGTTAGTAAAATTTGTGAAAGCTTCAGTCGTGTAAATGATCAGCTTCGATGACAGGTGCTGCGGGGACATGAGAAGCGCGCATATAGAAAGATAAGTTGATCATTTTGTACTCCACAATTCATGAAACTAATCCTGTTCATAATTATCATCTGTGCTTACTATGAAACTATCTTAATGATCCTAATCACAAAGTATTTACACAAAACTTATCGCCCCTAACGAAAAGAAAAGTTTTGCACGTACTAAATTCTTACCAAAAAATTCCTTAGTGAATGACATGGCACTTATGTGGTATCCGCCGTGTCATCAGGACATATGCGCGTAGAATCACTATTCAAAATAAAGATTGTAGAAAAGAAAAGAAAATACATATAGGGCAAGATTTTTTTGTTTCGTCGGAAGATGGGGCAAAATGAATTCAAGGAAAATTTCATTTCCTATTTTACAATTGTTTTTACCCAAAGTAGCAGTAGATGTCCCCTTAAACTTTACGCAAAATGCTATTGACGTTTACACCGTATTTAGTTGGCCTAAATCTAGACGTTCTTTTCACACCAAAAAAAAAAAAAAAATCTAGACGTTCTTTCCCTTGTTTTATGGGCAAAAAGTAGATCCGTCAAATAAGTGGGTCGGGTCGAAAATAGTTTGACCCAGTTAATCAGTTTTTTAGATCCAAAAAGAATTAATCGGTTTTGACATATTTTTATGTGAGACAAATTTAGTGACCCATACCAAAGCCAACCCATACTCGATCAATCCGTATTGCTAAAACACTTTTATATTTAACCAAATCTAGAAAAACTCATATCCAAATTGAGGTGAGAGCACGAAACGAGCTAGTGCGAAAGCAATTGAGGGTGAGAGAGAGTGAAGAGGGAGTCGTAGAGGTGAGTTAAGTCTAAATAAGTTATAAATCCATTTAACGCTCATATTATTTTGCATTTTACCATTCTAAACCCATTTATGACATTATAACTGACTTATATAATAACCCAGCTCATCAAATATGAGTTAAAAGATGGGTATATAACCCATTTTGATAGATCTAACATATAATTAGCGTATTCTGGGAAAAGTGCCGAATAAGTCCTAAACCTTTTGGGGTAGTGCCAAATTAGTCCTAAACCTATTTTTAGCGCCAATTGAGTCCTAAACCTTTTGATATAGTGCCAATTCAGTCCTTTTGGCCGGATTTTGCTGACGTGGACGTCGGCCGGCCGGCGACCGGTCACCGGAGCTGACGTGGACAAAATTTAATAATATTTTAATATTTTTTTGAATTTTTTTTTTTTTTTTTTTCTTCTCCCTCTTCCTCCAGCCGGTCGCCGGAGCGGCGACTGGCCGGAGGCCAGAGGCCGGCGAGGTCGACCTCGCCGGCCGGAGGGCGAGCCACGCCGGCCACTGGCTAGGCTCGCCCTCGCCAGCGACGGCAAAGGCAAAGGCGAGCCTCGCCATGGCTGGGCGAGGCTCGACCTCGCCGAATCTGGCGAGGTGGAGCCTCGCCGGCGGCTGGGCGAGGCCCGACCTCGCCGAATCTGGCGAGGTCGACCCTCACCCGGCCATGGCGAGGGCCGGGCGAACCTCGCCAGCCCAGCGTGAGGCTCGCCCTCGCCGGCGACGACGAAGGCGAGCCTTGCCATGGCTGGACGAGGCTCGACCTCGCCGGATCTGGCGAGGTCCAGCCTCGCCCAGCCGCCGACGAGGCTCGATCTTGCCAGATCCGACGAGGTCGAGCCTCGCCCAACCATGGCGAGGCTTGCCCGTGGCCGGCGAGGTCGACCTCGCCGGCCTCTGGCCTCCGGCCGGTCGCCGCTCCGGCGACCGGCTGGAGGAAGAGGGAGAAGAAAAAAAAAAAAAAAAAATTCAAAAAAATATTAAAATATTATTAAATTTTGTCCACGTCAGCTCCGGTGACCGGTCGCCGGTCGGCCGACGTCCACGTTAGCAAAATCCGGTCAAAAGGACTGAATTGGCACTATATCAAAAGGTTTAGGACTCAATTGGCACCAAAAATAGGTTTATGACTAAATTGGCACTTTCTCAAAAGGTTTAGGACTTATTCAGCACTTTTCCCAGCGTATTCTCGTATGTTGTTTCTCTTCATGTAAAATGCTTCATGCAATACGATCCTTTTCGTTTGACCATCGCAGAGCTGTTCTCGCACATATGCTTCATCTTTGAACTACCTCACAGAGAAACACTTTAGTTTTGATTGTAGACTAAATTGTTGAAAAAAATAAGCAATCGAACACAATAATAAATAGAACAAGGAGACAAATTGGACATCGGACTTACGTGATTCGATTGGTAAGACGTGCCCCATGAAGAGAGCAACACATGATTCCATTATGGATCAAGCAATACAAAGGACGTTAGAAGCGCACCTGAGTCCCTCAAACACTTTCAGTACTTCCTCAATTATACCTAACGATTCACACAGTGTATAACCGATATAGGCAAGTTCAGGTTTTGGTGTGTACCCATTTGTTCATAGGATGTTGCCGGAATTTGTTCTATTGGAGCTTCGAAACAAAAAATCTGAAAGAAGGGTTCGAAACAAGACAGAAAACAGATTCCATGAATCAGTACGAGGACGTGGTAATATGGTGGTAAAACCAACGAGAATCTCCAGTGATATCAACGATTGTATTTCAATAATCGGTGTTGCGTGGTTGTGAAAAGCGTGCATTTAGAAAGATGAGGTGATTATTTTGTCCATAAGTAATCCACTGATAACAATTTATGAAGACAATCCCTTTTCGTAATGAGCGCGTGTGCCTATTACAAAACTATCTTAATGATATTAATCATGAAGCATTCCGCAAAACTTATACCCCGACGAGAAGAACAATGCTATATGTAGTGATTGAATTCTAACTGACTGACATACGATCCTTGCACCATATTTAGTTGGCCTAAATCTAAACGTCCTTTCCTTTGTTTTTATGGGAAAAAGTTGGCGGATGAGGGTGGGCTGTTTCTGTTGGCCGGCCCGTATGGCTCGGCCGAGCACCCTAGGATCACCATAGCGAGATATTAACGGTACGGTAAAAGGATGGATAGAATTTGTGCACCTGTTTTGGATTCCATCGGCCTGGATGCGGAAATGACGATGAACCGGTGCCGTAGGTCTTCTCCCCTGTCACCCCCGAAGTCCCGGCGCTATGAGACCGCCTCAGCCAACTCACGGAAGCCTTAGGTGAGTTTGAGAGCGTTTGAGAGAGATTGGAGAGAGTTGGGTGCAGAGGAGGGACCTGCAGCTCTATTTATAGAGTTTCCAGCCAGGCCCTCTCATAACGGGCCGGGCCGAACTCAGCCCACACAAGCCGGGCCCATATCTGACCAATTAAGAAACCTTATATCCAAAATTATTAGACCAGACTCGTAAGCGGGTAATAACAATCTCAATTAATGTAACCCACATTAGGAAAACGTTACATTCTCTCACTTGGGCTATATTAATTGAAATCGTACCTTATGTGTACCTTTATTTGGTCTATGGATAATTCTTAATAGTCAATCCGATCCCATAAAGTTTCAAACACCGAATCATGGCGGTAACTGCATGTAATCACGCAGAGCCTTCC